CATTGCGGTGCGGACCACTATCCTGAATAAATCCAGAATTATGGGTCCAGTGCATTTTGAGGGTCATACTCTCCATCTACAGTGACCTCCCATTCTCTGTCCTAGCAGAACGAAGGCAGCTGGCGCCAGTGGCTAGGAGGCTGCGGGACTGCTCAGTCAAGTACCCTGGACTGCAGAAGGATCCCTGGCTGTAACACAAGGCACAGAAACACTCACCTTGACCTCCTCGGATAACCTTCTTTCACAAACTGGGCCTACCGGCCGCCAACATACCAGAGGAGGCAAACCGGGCGGATATACCACACAGAAAAGGGCCTCAGGGAGAGCGAACTCGCGGAGCAACTTGGCCAAGTGACACGTGCCTGACACCAGGGACAGTTCTGACATACCATAGCTGTTATTATCAGACTGACAATATGTCACTGTGGCGAAACCGGCCTCGCCACGTGTCCTTGGAGGGGGCTGCTTGCCCGCCTCTTGCCTTTGGACTATGGACCAGACTTTATGTGAAGGTATTAAACCAGATAGCTATGCCATGGAGCCCATTCGTGTAGTTAAAGACTTCGGCTCCATGGCAATTGAACTGTGTGAATAGGATCTGAGCGCTATTTGGTAGTTTTGTGCGCTCAGATCCCAGCTATCTGGGGATATGTGACATGTCTGTGTTTTATGTATAAAAGGTGACTTTATGTATTTTAAAGTGTTTTGTGTCTTTTTGCAACCATGTGCTTAATGGAGTCTTGTGTCTGTCCTGGGAGATAATTTAATTACTCTAAATTCAATCTCCAGGATAGAAGACTCTGAAACTGGTTTGGGCCGGTGTTCCGTCAGATTACTATACCTTGTCAGATTGGTATACCGGAAGTGACGCGGCCGCACCGGAAGTGACGCGGCCGCACCGGAAGTGACGCGGCCGCACCGGAAGTGACGCGGCCGCACCGGACATGACGTTTCGGAGCTGGAGAAGGAGGAGCACCGCGCCACGCAGGCGCAGAAGAACAGGTAGGAGAAAATTTCTACCACGCTACAGAGAGGAGCCCACCTACTGCGCATGCGCGAAACCCACACTGCGCCTGCGCTTGGAGCCACAAAGGGGGGGAGGTAGGGGAGCTAACGGGCCAGTGCGCACGCGCGCCTAAGTACTCCCGTCGGTCACAGACAGCGGGATACAGCGCGCGTGCGCACCAGCGGGCAGGGAGATCTATTCAGCCGAACATTCATCCGATCTCCCTGCCCCACACTGAGCACGCGCATACCCAGCCAGGACAGCCACGGACACCGCGCATGCACACTGAGGGGGTATAGAAATCTGATGGCCATATCTTCTGCTAAGAAATCTCCTACCCCTGAGTGCGCATGCGCGGTGTCTGATCCACTGCATCCAGACATCCATCAGGTAAGCCTTGCTCCCAACACTCTCAGCCATCGGGGGGACTGTGCAGTATTGGGGGGGGCTGTCCAGTATTGGGGGATCTGTGCCTTATTGTGGG